TTACTATTTATCATTATTTTGTAAAATAATCATTTTACAAATGCTATTTATGCTATTACATGCAGTCAAGATTTGCTTTTTTAGAAAATCATGATCATAAATAAAAATCATCTGCTTCTTCTATTTGATGGTAATGTTGCAGGAGAATTGATTTTTCACATTACGAGTCACAATTGTTTTCATTTATTTAAGAATATCAGTTTAGATTTTTTAAAAAATCCATAAACCTTCCACTTACGATATTACTTGATTACGGCGCAAATGAAAAAAAAAAAAAGGTAGGCCTAAATAATTTTCTCTAAAGAAAAAAATTAATGTTAGCAGTATAAGTTGTATAAAATTTTATTTCTTCGTAGTCGTTTCCCTTCTCTTACTGAGTAGCAATAAATAGTGTGCGGAGATATTTATCAAATGAAATAAATCATCTCATATCTTTCTAAATATAAATATTTTTTAGGTGAATTCCACAAACTTTCATTTTTATATCTAATATTTTTGAAGCGCTATGGCTTCATCTACGGGAGAATAAAGTACTCCGGTTAAAAATCAATGACGGTTACTTTCCGAAGATGAAGGAAAAGTAATTTGAAAAATTGTTAAAAATAAATAAAAGAGTTGCCCCTTTATTTAAAAATGATCACTTTTATCCACTTATTTTTGTAATTTGAAGAGGTAGAAAAGATTGAATTTGCAAAGAAACTTGTATCATTCTCTGGAAAAAATTATATTTTTACAATTAAAAATTCTTTTAAGAATTAGTTATATATTTTAAACTAAAGATTTTTTTACTTATCACGTACTTCAAGCAATTTTAAGTATCAATTGTTTAGATTCGGGATGTTGCAGCAATGATAACTGCGATAATAATAATCTGTAGCCTATAAAAATTGATCAATACTTTATAATAAAAAAAGAATTCATTAGAGAGATTAGAGTACCGAATAAAAGTGTAGTAACATGCCATCATTTATGGGGTTTCTTTCAAAAACACCTGCAGTAGGAAATCCACAATAGAAAAAAAAATAATAGATTTATAACTAGAGGAATATGTCACTAGCGTTTGATCTCTAGATTTCATCTGTTCAACCCTGTAATTACCAATAATCAATAACTGTTACAGAAAGCAGCAAATGAATGAACAGGTAGAAAAATTGCCAGTAAAATTTTAAAAAAGTCTGTCAGAAACTGGCCATAGAAGTATTCATTATAAGCTGTTAAAGCTTGATCTCAATTTTTTTATTAAATCAGTTTTTGAAATGATTAAACTGGTCCAGTAAATCAGTACATGTGGCAGCTTTGACCCGCTGCATAGTGTATGGTTGATATTCTTATATTGTAGATAGCAAAATCTGCCGTTTTTACATTCTCGGATAATCTCAAAAAATCTGCTAGTCTTCAATTTGTTAAAATTTCTCTCTCTCGAGAAATAATCAGATATGGCAACTTGCCACAGCCTCTAACTCTGCACTGGCGTGCGGTATCGTCGGAATTTACAAAACACACGGTTCAAACTGAGTAAATGCACGTAGAAAATTGACTTTCTGGCGCACGAATCCGCAAATCGGTGTGCCACCCCGTACAAATACTTGTGCGCATTTAGTTTCTGCAAAGATGGTATAGAATTTTGCTATATTGTACTTTGCTTGTTATGCTAGGAATTTAAAAACTAACACGATCCAGAAGTAAGTTTAAAATTCTATTAAATGTTTAAATATTTATATGATGTGTTATTCCGAATTCAATTTTGCATTCATTTTCATTTCAACCATTAAAATATTTAATCTGTTCCAAATGCCATTTTAGATTAACATTATTTTGCCTGTTCTTTTTACCTTTTACAAAGAATCATTAAATATATAATGATTTTTCTAACATAAATGAAGTGCAAAAAATATAGAAATAATTAATATAATTTTGAAAATAGAAATAAAATGCTTTCTTTCAGAAAAAAAAAAATTAAACTTTAAATTTTTTATTCCCATTTCTACCGTAATGTGTTTTTCACTAAGTTTATTTTCCCGTATTAAATATTTACTTGTCATTTTTCCCATTATGCTATACAGAGAATATATATGCATTTAACCATGTAACAAATTCAAAAATTAATAACAGGATGGAAAAAAGTAAATTAATTTGTACATTTGTATTGTCTAATTCCTTTTTAATACTACTATATTATCTACCATATATTATCTACCATACAATCTCTAATCTGGAGATCTCAGATCTAGTCTTTGCAGGAGGCAAAAAGTTCCAGGTGGTCCATCATTTAAAAATACATTGGAGTAAACGGCACAAAACTGGGGACCACGTTTACTAGTTTTTATTCAAATTACAGACACCAAACTATAGAATACATTACTATTATCTTAATTTATCTTATCCAAATTGTCTTACCATTTTCAAACTATGGAAATTTTATTTAGGAATAGATTGCAAATGGTTGCGCCAACGACTACTATAGAGACCGTAACGGTAGTGAGGCCATTAAAGGTAAGCGATTAAATTTTTGCAGTAAGTTTACATTGTTTATTTTATTAATATTTAGTCCATTGATTAATCTAAACAAAAAGAATATTTTAAGTTAAATATTTCATAAATTAATTTCTTTTTTTGTTTAGATTGAGTAAAGGAGTCAAATACAAATTATTAACTTATTCATTATTATTATTATTAGATACTTAATTTACTAATGATTGGATATCAATTACATTTTAAATGGCATTACGTTAATTAATGTTTGGATAGTTCTTCCCAAATGGCATCATTATTGCTACAATTAATAATAGGAAAATAATAATAATGCCATTCGAGTCTCGGTACATCATAGACTTTAATCAGTATAATTAACAAATAAATTATTTGTTACCAATTTATATAATTATACTAAAGCGTAATTTTCCAAACCTCCACTGGGGTCAAAAAAACAAAAAGGCAGTCTTCTCAATGGGGAACTGCAACGTTAACGTGCAATATGCAATATCCTCTATAAGCCAAACTGTAAGTGCTTGCAAGGTCTGTCCGGTCACTCAAAAAAATTCAGATACAAGCGATCAAATATTTAGAAAAACACAACATGCACATTTTGATCGAAGTATAATTAATGACCCCTCTTTGGAATTTAGTATAATTTAAGAAAAAATACACTTATGTAGGCGATACGGGATGATAAAATTATAGAATGTTAAAATTTTACAGGTCTCTGTTTCAATTCTTCTAATAAATCACAGAATTATTAGCAGTATTATAGAATCCACAACAATTAAAACATTACTAACATCTTAATAGGTGAACAATGTAATGAAAACGGACAAGTACAAAATTACAATACCTAATGAATTGTTATAAAATAGAAAAGGTAGTCTGTTGTTTGCTTAAATTGCATTGAGAAATTAAAAAAGAAAGAAATGTCAATTAGTTTACTGGACTATGGAAAATGGATATAAGTTTTAACTGAGAATTTTATCCTGTAAAATTTAATGATTCAAGGGAGCCATTTTTTAATATTTTTCTGGTGTCATTTTCAAACTTACTGCCCATTCTAATTTTCCAAGTTTTGGCTTGCAAAATATAAATATGATTTGATTCATAAATATCTATAAGGACAGATTTATAGGGAATTATAGGGATGATTTTTTTAATAGTTTATGTAAGGTTAACCAAAAATATACAAAGTTTTTGAACACATTGTGAGAAAAACTAAATACCTTAGTTGGCATTATTTTAGAAAACATGCCTTGGACATTTTATATCATAGATATGTCTATGTTTGGGAGGTAGTGTTACAGAGTTAATTGAAACTTCTTTCTTACAAAATATAATAGGCCTATACACCATTTACAGGAAAAAAAAAAGGTATCAGTAATTCCAAACTAGTCCAAAATTCACACACACACAATTGTTTTTGATTTGTGCAAAGTTGTGTATAAGCTTCTTCAGTTCTGCTATACAAAAACAGTATTATATATAAATAGGGTCACAGGCATTTTAAAAATTTTCTGTGGTGTGTGTGTCTGTGGGGGTGGATCACCATCGGTACAATCTACTTGATCCCTAGAAAACCACGGACTGGGCTTGATAAATCGAGGTGGTCTTTCCCGTAAAACTTTTCGAAGACTTGGAAAACTCCACTGACTAGCTTAAGTTTGGCTAAATTAATCTATCTTAGGAAATCCGTTCCTAAGAGGAAATTCGGAGTGGCAAAACAAAGCGACGAAACAGATACTCATTTTAGCGAAGCGAACGAATAAAAGGTTGGAATTTCATTACTTCATTTGACCGGAGAAGGAAGAACGGCATCCACTCGAGGACTATAAAGTCCTCCGAGTGATGGACGATTTGGGAATGGCTTAATTAAACATTAGTCCCAACGCCGTCCGGCAGTAAATATTTTCCAAAACTTATCGAGGTGGGCAGATAAAGATCCGAGTGAAAATCTTTGCGGAGGAGAAGGAGGAGGAAGCGGAAATGCCGGAAACGATCGATTCTGGGCGAGATGTCTTTTTTTTAAAGTGGAAAGCGATTTCTGTTCTTTAAGATGAGTTTAATTTAATGATCGCGGTTTCTTTTTCGTCTCAGGTCGAGGAACCGAAAATCCTTCGGTGGCCCATCGATTGTCGAGGGATGAGTACCCACGGGAATAGTCGAGTGGAGGCGGAACGATCCAGAGTCCGAACGATTCGGCCGCCATTTTTTCCCCTTTAATTCGTTTTCCTGCCCCGGCACCACCTTTCGGAATTTTGTCAAAAATCGACCAAATCGCCTCCCCGATAATCGTTGGCGTTAGACGGAAGCGCGGCGGGGAAATTTCCCCAAACCCATCCGGGAATATTCGGTTGGGGGGATTTACTTAAATCGATTTCTCTTCGATTATCGACCGGGAAAATTATTCGACGGCTTTATTAAAAATTTTATTTTATTTTTGGGAGGAAAAATCACAAACGATGTGGGGTCACCTGGCGGAGAATTACGCTATTATTTTTAATATAAGCTTTATCGATTTTCTTCTTAGCTAATGAAGAATATTCGGAAAGAAGCGCTCCGAGCAGAAAATTTAATAAGGGAAAGCTTTTTTTCCCCCCTCCTCTCCTCTTTATTATTGTTATTAAACGTTAAACGGACTGCGTTTTATTTAATTTTTAGCCGGCCTCCGCGCCCCGCTTCGAATTTGGCGAGCGGACGGAACGAGTTTTATTAACGTCCGAGCGCCGATCGATAAATCATCATTAAAAGATTAAAGCCAAATAAAGTCTCGAGGGGGGAAGGGAGCAGTTTCGTACGGCGGCCGTCAATCTCCATCGATCGCAGACGAAACGGATTAAGAAGTCGTTCGTCGCCTTCACCGAATTACGGATTAAAGCGTTTTTCCGCCTCCCCCCCTCCGCTCCGGAACGTCGACGGATGCTCTCTAATTGCAGACCTCCCTTCCGGCGGGATGCCAATTGGCGCGCGTTGTCGGATTGCCGGGAGGATGCGTTTTACCATTCTGTTTATCCGGACCGAAGTGCCGGCCGGCCTTCTACCGGGTCGGAGGTTTTCCGGGGGGGGCGGGAATTTCTCCGGTCGGAAATGGAAGTTCCGCTAGATGGTGCTAAGCGAGCGAGTCACGTGAGAAGTTATCGACTTGTACCTCCTGGATATACTACACTGGCCGTCGGGATAGGATGCCGGAATGTCGCGGGCGGCATCGTCGCGCCAGCTAAAGCGCGTACCGCACGTATACGTGGCGGAATATGACGCGGAGACCACCAAGTGCTGCTGCCTGTCTCGGATTCCGTGGGAGAGCGAATTGGTCCAGGTAGGAACGGCCCGTCACGCTTCACCTTCCGGACAAAGTTCGTTTCCCCCTTCCGTCCCCTCCTCCTCCTCCTTCCGTTACCTGTCGGAAAAGAACGTGGTTCCGTAACGTCACGTCCGATGTACGTTTTGGACGGATGCCAAGATAACCGCGCGCGCTCTGTTATTTTTTCCGCGACGGGAAACTCGCCGATGACGTCGATGGACTATATCTCTTTGCAGAAAATCGGAAACGAGGCCGTCCGAACGACGGGCGCGTACCGTTTGTCCGCGCGGCCCTTTTCTTAAGAGGGAGAACTTACGACGAATTTTTTTCCGGTATCCGGGACGTAATTTCACAACAGGTGAAGCGATTTCGATCGATCGGACAGCGGCCGAGGGCGCGTATCGATCGAGTGGTCGAGGCGCCGACGTGGTAACCCTTTGACCTTCTTGGCAGGGTACACGGACGTCCGACATAGAAACACAAATTTAAAAAAAAAACGCAGATTCGGCTGCACGTTTCTCTTGTGTCTTTGCAGGTGATCGCATTCATATGCGGGCTGATAGTAATCCTGTTAATGATCCTGTGTCTGGCTTCGTCCAATTGGCTGACGTCCGACAAATTCCGACAGGGTCTATGGGAACAATGCATCGAGCAAGACGCTCCTCAGCCTCTACCGTTCGGCGTGGACTACCGGACGGGATGCTACCGAGTTCGACAGCAAGGTGAGCACCCGGCCACCGCCCCCGATTCCGTTAGACGTCTCCTTTACACCGTTCTTTTTTCTTGCCAGGTTACATCCAGGCGGCGGCGGCTCTGAGCGTCATGACCCTGTTGTTCGACATCGCCGCCACGGTCATGACGGGTTGCGGTCTATGCAGCAAAGATCCCACCAGGAAATACCGTCTCTATCGATACGCACTCTACGTCATGCTGACGGGACGTGAGTATTATTATTATTATTTTCTCTGTTAACGAAGAGGTTGCCTGGAAGAAATACAATTCGTTTTTCGAATCTTCTATTAGCGTAGTTTTTCTGCACGGTCTCCTTTTGAATTTTATACTCTCCTTACGGCAGCCTCTGCTCCTCCAACTTCTACTTTTAACGGAAGTGTTTTTTTTTTGCGACCGGACGAAAAAGTGACCGAGAAAGTGTCTGCAGCGGGTTATTGCCCGTCGAGACGCCGTGAAAACCCTTTTTCGACGGAAAACGTGCAAGCCAATTCTGACGCCACCGTTGCATCTTTCCGAAAAGGAAAACCCACGGTTGGTCTCGAGTCTCGGGCTACCGACTTCTCTTAAACGTGACGACTTTGAAGTTGTAGATATGTAAGCACCGAATGAACAAAGGAATCGCCACGCCTTATTCCTGGCAATCTCGTATTTCGTACTAACAAATTGAATGAAAAAAAGATGCTTAGAAATTACATAAATTGGAATATTTTCGAATCTAACAACTCGATATCGACCAATCCCTTATTTAGAAGTTCTAATCGGTTGTGTTAAATTCGGATTTGATATTTTCAGTGAAAATATATATATATATATATATATACACACAGGGTTTTTCTAGAGTGACACCAGAAGAGATGGTGCAGAGCTCGTAGACAAAGCATTGGGAGCAGGCGTGTGGGTCGTAAGGTGCCGGCTTAGGGTCTGCAATGACGCCAAACGGAAAATTCGTTCACCCGGGCCAATCTCTTGACTAATGTGGTCCAGCCCCGTGGTCCGTAACTTGCAGCTAAGCTAAGTACAGTCGACCCCCCTATAATTAAGGTCCCTATAATTACGATTCCTATGAAACTACGAAAAAATATACGTATTTTGGAAATGTTGAGTCGGATTAGTGTAGAATCGATTAATTTTATGGAAGAAAACCTTTCAATCAGCCGTAGTCCGTAAACTTGACACGTGTCGGGCTGTAATTGGAACGACTTGTAAGAAATCGGATTCCTAATAAATTGGAACGTATCTATATCTTATAGGGGGGTCGACTGTATGCTGTGAAGATCGAATCCGTTTTACTTAATAGGCAGAACATTTATTTAAATAAAATTAAACTGGTAAACGTGATAGTGGAAAAAAATCTAGCAACGAGAGTTGCGTAACTTTCCCGTCTGTTGAGTTTTTATTTTAAAAACTTTTACAATATTAAGCAAAAAATAAAATTGCCTGTGGCACCATCTATTATCAGATTTTGTTAAAAACTATAGTTTCTTTTCTAATTACTATAAAATGGCAAAAAGTCTAATTTTAAGGTAGTGGTCAGTTTCATAAAAAAAAAAAAAGTGTAAATGTTAATAACGAATAAAATCTTCATTAAGTCACAATCTTCTCGAGATGGTGGGGAGATACACGACGCCCCTCTATGACACTGATTCCCCCTCGCATACAAGTCTTCGTGCCAAATTTCGTTTCTTAATCTTTACCCCGTCCCGAGATATTAAGCGAAATAGACGCCAACACACATGCATCCTCGGAATTTTCTTTTGCCGTTTATTTTTTTTATTATTTTGTTGGATTCGGGTGATGTCAAAACGTGGAATTTGCAAAAAACTTGGAGGGTCAAATTTGACACGATTCCCATACTTTCCCTCGTTACGTATCGGGGAAAGTAAAACAAAAACTTACAATAAAAAGACTATAGTGTGTCGTGTTTTTGTCATCGTCCTGGCAGCATATCGGTTAAATACAGAACTATGTGGCCGGGCCTAGTCCGTAACTAATCGAACCGGGATGTTACGGACTAACTGATAACTCGACGTAACCGGGGGATGGCTAATTGTACACACTCGTCGCACCTCGTAGGTTAAGTGACGAAACGGAGTTTATTAATATTGGAAATGAATTTCGTATTCCCTGGTTGATCCAAGTGGCAAACAGATTAATATAAACATAGTATCGTATAGTACGAGAGTAACTCGAGTAACTTTTGCAATTAATTTCCGTTTGATGGTATCGTAGACCCAAAGCTATACCCAGAAATGTATTTCGGGCGAACTTTCCCCATATTGAATTTAGTATCACAAATACTAACGACGCCATTTTTTTTTTCTTTTCAGTGATATGTATACTGATCGCCTTAGTCATCTATCCTGCGTGTTTTGCAAACGAGATCGACAACAGCAATCGCCAGGTGTGGGAGTTCGGATGGGCCTACGGAGTGGGCTGGGGAGCGGCGATATTTCTGTCGGGTGCCATTCTCCTACTACTCTGCGATAAAGAGACCGAAGAGATATACTACAAAGAGCGAACCATCATGGGAAACGGTAACACTTCGAAAGCATAAAAAGTTGTCCGCTGCGTCTGTACATAACTTCGTGTACATTATCCATCCACTCATGACTAAAATAGGATGCCGCCACGGTAACTGTCTCGGACGCCGGAGTACCCGTCCGTCAAAACCTTACCTAACGTTTGCCATCAGTATTATGTCTATATTTACCGATAAGTGTTGATTTCCCATTAAGACGTAATTCGTATTTCCTACCATACATTTATACCGGGAGCCAGACGACCGGTCTTCGAATCCGGACGCCTCCGGTTCGAACTTTTTAAAAAAAAAAACAGATTTATCCTTTAAGAACCGCACGATCGGCCGGGATATATATATATACATACATACATATATATTAATTAAAAACGTACCTTGGCCAGCACGGTTAGTTATGCAGCAATATATAATAATTCCCACAATTATTTCGTGACTCCTAAGTACGGCAAACGCTACGATTCGATAGAATTCCTACACAAAGCACACTCTCTCTGTTCCATTTCCGCTTCACATTCTTCACATCATCATTTTTGTAAATAGAATAAGCAAAGCTGTATATTTTACTGTCAAATTAAAAAAAAAAAAAAGAAGTTATATCGAGAAGCAGAAAAGTAAAAAAAAAATTAATAATCTGCTTATGAAAATTTTGATATGTATATTAGTAAGCTTCTTTTTTTTTTTTTGCATATTTTTAAAATATGCCCTTAGTTTTCGCTTTTGCATAACTCAGGTGAATATAAAAAGATGCAGGACAGACACACATACAAACGCCGTCTTGTGTCAACTAGTCAGATGCTTCCTACAACCAAGCAATTTTTTTTATTTTTATTTTGCTTAATGTATATCGCCCTTAGATTTGACCCGGAAGACGTTGCGTTTCACTTCCGTCGGTTCCGAATTCTCTCTCTACCCTTAACGAACGAACGAATCGTTAAGTTTATCGCTATGGCGTACGTCTATGCTTTTCGAACACAGAATATGCACTTTTGTAGGACACTTTCTATTAATCCGACTTACATTGCAAAAGAAAAAAAACTGCATAAATGAGGATATAAAAACCTTGCTTAAAGCCTTAAACGAACACACACACGATATGCAATTTTTTATATTTGTGCGTTATTTCCTTTCTCTTCCGAATTTCTTCCCTAGAAAACGATGCTATTTTAGAAAGCATTTTTTGCTATTTTATCGATTAAAAAAATGGTGATTGGCTGTTAGAATAGTCGAACATTTTTTGTGATATTTATATCGTCGCACGATTTTTTGATTTCGATCGTACGACCGGGTGCGATTTTGTTTTCGTTTTTTTTTTTTTTTTTATCGTTGAGTCACGTAATCGTTCTGGTTGTTTTAGTTACGTGGAAGATGTATCGGCATGTATTTGGTAGTGTGCTACTATGCATCAAAGATATAAATAAACTGCTTCTTGCAAATATTTATAAAGTTTTTAGTTACTTCTCGACAACGGATTACTCTGATAATCAATCATTTATTAAGTCCTTAGTTGCAAACATTAAAAAAAAAAAAGAAATCCATATATACAACAAATTAACCGATTATTCTTGTTATAATCACAATAAAAAATAAACGTGATTTATACCGTTACATCCAGTTAAAATAATCGTACATGGAAATCGAACGACCATACCACACCGAACTGCAAGCGAAAGGGTGACAGGCCTGCAACGTCTGGTGGTTATGCATATAATTTACCAAAAATACAATAAAAAATAATTATGTACACCTCAATTTCGCTTAACAAGATTGCATGATGTATATATATTATGTATATAGTTGTTCATAAATGCCCGTACATCTTATAAAACTGACTGGAACTTACATAGTCGACCTGCAATTTGTACTGTAACTTTGAAAAATCGAGACTAGAATGTCAAAAAATCTATGGTCGAAATTAAGCAAAAAGCATTACTGATTTGGCAAATGGAACATTTAACTGGTGTTGTTTATATTTATATATATTAAATATATCACAGGAATGTTGGGATTAAAAATAACGACAAATGCATGAACATGTATTTCGTGAGCCGGGCTAGAAGCTGACCTTCCCGCGCGCCTTGAAGAAACCTAGGTCGTTGGCATTGTGAAATGCGGAGGCTATGCCGGCGTAGTTCTCTACCACAACCGGCTGGTACTGGATCTCACACCGTCTCGACGAGGGCGGAACGTTGGGAGGAAGGGCCGCCGGATCCATCTGCTCCACGGCCTGGACCAGGTGGCGGGAGAAGTCTTCAATGTCGTAGCTCGTCTTCTGGCGACTCTGGTGTTTGGCCAGGGGATGAGAGGTGTAGGTGATCCACGGGATCTCTCGGCACCAGGGGTTCCAGTTTTTTAAGAAAGGCAATGGTTGCTCCACGTTCCACATGCACTTGACTCCGATCTGATTTCTTGTGCTAACGGAGTGAAAAATTAAGATTCAGTATTTCGTCAACCATATGAACCATTACAAAAATCCGTTCGATTCCGGCACAGTTACAATCTTACTAAGCAAAAATTAGTTAGTTGTCCAGCTTCCCAGTTAACAAAAGCAGAACAACAGCATGCAACCACAGTCTATTGTCAAATTTCTTAAAAAGGTAACAACACAACATGCTTCCACTGACAGAGGAGAGAGAGAGAGAGACAGAGAGATCACCTATATATAAAACTGCACCTGTTTTCAGTATTTGTGTCGCTCTGGTTCTGGACCTGGGCTGACCGAGAGTTTGGATTCGTCTGTCGTAATTTGGGAACGACCCATTCCTTTATGAAACCGACAGCTCCGTTGAGCTTCCTAGTTTTGAATAAATAAAGTAAGCAGAGCGGGCAAAACAAACAAAAAACAAATAAGACTGCAAGATTTAAAAAAAACAAAAAAAAATGCAAGAAAAAAAATTAAAAAACTGTAGAAAACAACAAAACAAAATTTTGGCAGCAGATCAAACTGTCAAACAGGTAAGCAGAATATCAGAGAATTGAGTGTATGTAAGTTCTGCAATATTAACAGTAGTGGAAACATCATATTGAAGTGGAAATAAATATATTGTCTATTAATTATTGGAGTGCATAATTGAAAAGCCAGAATTTTTAACAAATAAAAACAGATATTTAATGCAACAATTTTGGAAGTGTCAAAACCAGAATCACAATTATGACATGGTGTTTTTGAACTTTCAATTAAAAAAAGTAAATGTAATAGTAATTCTTTAGAAATTGATACACATACCTTCTTTCCCCAACCTATTATTATAACCACATTTAATAATAATTGTTAAAACAACAAAAAGAAGCATATTTATAAAGTTCAATTATTGATAAGCTCAAAATTATATTCAATATGAGTAAGAAGCAAATTTTTTAGTTTAGAGTGTGATTTTAATATTGAAATAGCTATAAAAAGTAATTAATCATTTATTAGGTTACTTTGAGTTATTTTGCAACTAAAGTCCCCTCGGTAAACTTTCTGTTACTGTGAGTTGAAACATCACAAGAATTGAAAAAAGAAATGAGCAAACCAGAAGAGTATAAGATATCAGAATAGAAAATGGAAAGTGGAGAGGGACAAGACATTTTGGAATGTGCAAAAAAGAGGGAAAACAAACTGTTTTCTGAGTGTAACAAATTTTACGAAGTCTTTTTTTTTTAATATGTTGGTAGTTAGTGTAACTGTCTAGTAGGAATGGGGCATAAGTGACTGGAAATTAAAAATATTCAACCTGTCCACTACAGAATAAAATGTTGACTGATCACGCAATATTTTGTATAAAATTTTGTACTCCCGAGTGCAAAATGAAACCGTTGGATGGCCATTAACCAACAATAAAACTAACAATATTGCAAAATACAAAATAAAGATCATCACTTTTGATCCTTTACGATCACTGCTTGCTAATTCCCACATGGCTTGAGATTTATTAATATGAAAGTTCTGAAATGAATTTCAACATTTCTTTCAGATGACATGACATATTTGACACACATTATCATCAGTACTTTATGAGAACGAACATAATTTAAAAAGGTATTTTGTTTACAGTTCAAAAAAAAGTATATCTTGGAAGTGTCCACAAGAGTAATAAAATTATCACAAGGAGAAAAAGCAAGGACAATTCTAGGATTAAAAGAGTGCGCAAGAATTAATTTGAGACATTTGATGTATTGTCAAATAACAGCACCAAAAACTCATTACAAAAAGTAACTACCCAAAAAATAAAATCTATTGATGACAAGATTGAAGTATTTTAAAATCAAACTGTCAAATTTGCTATGCAAATAATAGAAAATTCTAAGAGTTAAAAATACTGTTCGTCAATACAGACTAAAGTATTCTATCCAGAACAAATTTTACATTGGACATCTCTACTGATCCGGACACTTTAGTATCTCGCAAAAGAAATGTCCGATGCAAAATTTATTCAGATTTGGCTGCTATTACCTGCAAAATGGGATTAAATTTTACAAATACGAGCAGAAACAAAACTAAAAAAAAATTCCAAATTGGTCACTTAAACGCAGAATGAAAATTTTCATAATTCAACATTGTGGCACTAAATATACGCATAAAGCTTATTAAAAAAATCTTGTTGAATAATGTTGATAGATTTATTAAAAAACTTAATTGATTTTTTTTATACTATACAAAAATATTTTATGAAACATCCAATTTTGACTAGTTAAAAACAAAATTTATACTTTTTTTGCATAGTTAATACATTATTTTAATACACAAGAAGACATAAGGAACATTAATCCAGAATTCCACCAGATTGTTACTGGACAATTCCAGATTGTTGGGTGCCAGATTAACAAATTATTTTAATTACATTTGTTTGTTGCAGACCCTTTAAAGCACTGAAGTTTTGTGCTTTTATGGCTGTATTCCATAAGCTGAGTTGAGTAAATGTTAAAGCTAAAGCTAGAGTTTGCAAGAAATTGCCATTCACAAAATCAAGTAACCCTAACAGATTCAGTTTAAACCATCAATCTTCTTGAGTAAGAGTTCAGTTAAAACCTAGAGTTAACACTTGCACAATAGCACTCTTGTTTTAAAATGGTAACCTAAAGTAGCAAAGATGAGTAAACTTTAGAATATTTGAAGTATTTTCAATACTTTCACCATCAATGTCATGATTTCTGTATATCAAAGATTAAAATCATTTCTTCTCTCCCCATTAAACAATTGAGTGAAGATGAATTTATTTCTCAATACCAAATAAAAAGGGACACACGTAGTAAGGTATTTATTAGGTCAATTTGATGAAAAACTTCAACAAAATTCAAGAAAAAACTTATGACACCTCTAGCACAAATGTTTATAGCTTTGCTCATGCTTTACCTACTAATTCTAGTAGTAATTCTTTCTCAAATTGTTGAAATTATAATGTGTGTTAATATCCATTTGTGTTTCTGCCATTTTGTATATATGTTTTCTTGCAACCAATCAAGACTTTGCTTACAAAAGAAGACTTATTTAAAAATAATTCACCATTTATCACACCGGAATTACTAAAAAATTTTACACACCTGAACCATTTACGGTGTGATCATGCGAAAGATAGGTAAATGTTTTCGAACCCCTTATGGGCTCTGCTTCAGGTTCCAATCAGTTTCTATAAGGACGTTCGATATCCGTTAGAAGTAGAAATATGTTCGATCATGTCATTTGATCATAATTTTTTGAAGACTTATTTAATCTCAAATGCAGGATTGTTTTATAACATTAAATCTAGAGTAGCAACACCAGAGTTATGTTTTTATCTGAATATGAAACGTGGATAACTCTTAATCTGACTCAGAGTTAGATTTAAACTGGAGTTCATCAACACTCCATTTAGCTCAGTTTACAGAATATGGCCATTAAGCAACCTGAAACAAAATTTCATTTTGCCTTAGATAGATAAATCAACATTAAAAAATTGTTAAAAGAAATTTATTGAAAATTAATATTTGAATATTTTGACTAGAAGTTCTCTCTTTCTAGAATCAAAACAAAAGAACCGAATTGAGAACCACTAGAAGTAGCTAATGTGATAAAATTCCATAGTGGACGCGTCAATACAAATTTCACATTCTTTCCATAAAATACCTGTTTAGTTTCATTAAAATTTTTCATGATTAAGATTTCATAATATGAATTTATTGTCCTAGGGTATTTATTGTCCATACTAATTTAGTATGAAAATAAGGTTTTGAACTTCCTTGTAACCAATCAAAAAATTTGACACATTTTCAGGCAACACAGAAGCTCAAGTCAATAAATAAATTGATTTCACAAACTGGAATTTCATTTAAACAAAATCAATGTTTAAATAAAAAAAAGGACAGTCTGCAGAAATTTTTCTTTATTGATATAGTGATATGGCTCATTTATAATAAATTTAAAATTAAATAATATATATATATTAAAACAGGAGACTAGACTAATTGAACAAAATTATGCTAATTTGCATAAAGTAAAAATTAAATTTTAATTGAATTAAAATATTAGCTTTGTATATGTAAACTTTTTATATTCAAATTCTATCCATTTCAGAAGTACAAAGTGTAAATACAAAAATTCAGTTTTAATAATGTGCAATGTTATTAGCAGCTTTGGAACCTCTCCGAAGGGCAATTCCCATTAAAATCTGCCAGTCAAACAACAAAGGTTCTAAACTGTCACAAACTAGAAATGTTATCTGATGTATATGCCCACTGAATATTTCCGATTTATTATAGATAAAAACACTACTTTGGGTATTACCATTATTCAGGATGGGCACAGAAACTGATTTGCTTCACAAAATCAAACTAAACCGAAGTTTTTGTTGGAATGTACCGATAAGCAAATAATACTGGTGTTCAACTAATGGCCCAAAAAAATCAATTCTATTTGAACCAGAATCCCCAACAGCAATGTCAAGCACCCCGTGGAAATGATCTGGCTGGAAACAAAATTCCAAAATTAAAAATAACAGCCATCATGGTTGCTGAAATTGCATGGTGTGATCATGGCTTAACAGACATACTCTTACACTTTTAAATATTCACAAAAAAATAAATAAATTGCATCATTGTTTACTGCATTAACAAATGGATGTCTCAATGGACACATTCTAAACTTTTTTTCATTCATTCAAATATGTAATTTTTAAAACATCAAGAAGTGACTAGAGGAAGATTTCTCAAATCATGGGTTGCAATTGCAATCCCTTTGGGGTTATGAAAAATTTGATAACAGTAAAATTTTGTTCAGTATATTTATGGAAAGCTGCATTTTTGGCATTGACGATTATAAAATCAAAATGTCTGACAATTCTGAAAAACACTGAAGATGCCCTGCATTCTGCAATAGTATTGAATATTTGATCAAGATTTCATTTTTTATGTAAAAATAAACAAGTGTATCTGTGTCATTAGTATGCAAATTTGCTTTTGTCTTTAATAAATGGTAAAATAATATGCATATCAAAGAACCAATTTGGAATAAATTGTTTTATGATTTATCTGTAAGAGATTTTATATACCTACATAAACGGGTCATGTAATATTCTTCTCGGGAAAAAGCGAATCACAAATAGAAAAAGTTGAAGTCTTGGACTAGATCTATATCCTTTTCACAAAACAAAACTTGTTTCTCAATTACACAAATACTAATTAAAGTGGGCTAGTTTTCACTTTTAACTTTTGTCTCTATTCTAGGAAAACAAAAATTTACAGAAGTAAAACAACCGGAATGTACAAATAAAATCAAGTTAAACCTGTACACAAAATGAGAAAAATTTAATTAATCTGTGTTATATAAGGGTTTAGAATTTCTTAAAATTATATTTTTAAAAGTAGTGAGTCTTTAATGCGATAATGCTCTAGAAACAAAAGAGAAATAGCTTAAAACAAGAATTTTCATACGTTTTCAGAATATAATTCACAGATTAGTGGTGGTGTGTATGTTATACTTTGAATTAAATTCTCAAGAAATGAAGACGACCAACTAGAGAGGTACAATCAATTTCTGAACATTAATGTTTATATATATATATAAAGTTTTTAATATATACTAAAATACATAAGTACCGTATAAATTTAAGGTTTCATATTGAGAATATTTACAGTATATTCTACTACAAATGAAGATAAGAACAAAATTGTAGTCATTGTACATATCCTTCACAGCTGAAGGAACAATTAAAAATAGAGGCATCATTCCTTGTTTTTGTATGATCTACCAAAAGTTACTCTCTGCTATGTTTTTTGTTCCTGTATCCACGAAGAATGCAAGACAATTACTTTGAGCTCTTCTTCATTTGTAGTATTTTGTAAATTTTTTGTTCTGGTTTCTTTAGTTTTTGACATTTCAGACTCATTAACTTCTACTCATATTGAAATTACTAATAACTTTGTTATGATAGAATTCTTATAAATATAAATGATTCTGTAGATTATCAAATCGATTTTCACAAACCGAGACGCTTTTGGCAAGTCATTTTGTACTAAGTAATTATGTAAAGTGTACTGTTACTTACGGCATGAGAGAACTTTCTGGATATTTCAGTTCTCCGACAATGATGCGGTCGAACATTGTCAGATGTAGACGACGATAGTCCAGCAAACGCTGGGTGATGAAATCGTATTTCAAATTAATGACGCTGTAGTCTGTCAGGAATATAATTCTCTCTTTTTCTGTATCCCAGTGATCAATCCTAAAATAAAAAAATTTATTTATTCTGTTGGAAGTATGCAATTGGATGATTACCAAAAAATTTATCACATAATGAAACTTTTAAGAGTCTTTCAAATAAATAATTCAATTTCTATCATTACATTTATCAACTAGATTAACTGGAGACGCAAAATCAGTTGAACTCAATAAATTTACTCTGAGAATTTTTTGTAGTTACAAGACATTTTTGAAATTAAAATGAATTATTTTCTACTTGGCTTTTTTTAAAATCCTGTTATAAATTATAAATAGTTCCTGTTGAATAACGTACAACAAAAACCATACTAATTACTCATAAAAAGTAATGCAATATTTAGTTACATAATTAATCTTACATTACATAATTCAATAGCTGTAATTTGGATCCTGTATCAAAACCCGTACATGTAATAAAATAAATGAAGAAAGTAATAAATTCAATACATTAAACGGTTTTATTATCATTTGGCAACAGTCTTATATTTCTGCACGTAACATTAATTTTATTTAAGTGCTTTAAATACAAATATTAAACTCACTCTGTCAGGAGCCACACTCCACGCAATTCTCCATCCAAGTTTTCCAAGACGACGGGTCGGCACTGATCGGCTGCATTTTCGAGAGCTCCCTCCTGTTGAAAACATTTACTTTTTAAAACTACTGTTATATTTTAAACAGAATTAAAAATAATTAAAAAGGAAATATTCTATAATTTATTTGCAATAATAATAAATTTCATTGGGACAACTTTAAAAAGATCAAGCAACAAAGTCACGTCATACAAACTAGAAGTACTCATACCCTCACCGCAAAGAATTCTCTCACTTCCTCTTCGCTCATGGGTCGCACCGGACGGTGACTGGTTGATCCGGTTCTTTCCGCTTTCATTTTATTGCTGAGATTAGCATTATCGTCTGAAATAATAATTTGTTTGGATAATTTATAAGTTAGTTAAATACATAAACTGACATGACTATTTAAAAGAATTAATTTTTACAAAGTTCTATTGCCAACAAATAATTGTTTCTAATCATTAAGGATTGCATACAGACAGGTGGAAATGGATACAGGTTGTAATTTAAATTGCCTTCAACTGTACCAGAAATCATATTTTACTTTAATAAAGTCCTGAAATTTGTTATCGATCCTTCCTATATTAATTTGTTTATTATAATAAATAATTTATAACACATTTTATAAACTTGATTACCATCTAATGTTAAGATATTTGATAAAACAAAATGCCAGCAACAAAACACAGATCACGTGGTAGGCAAATATTCAAACCACTGAAGCCTTATCACATAATGCTAAAACATACTCTTGAAATATATACTGACATTCATATTTATTTTTTTTATATCCTATGTAATCATAATAAATTAAAAATTTGATATTAAATACTTCTTTTGGTCTAGTTATATATCTGGAAGGTGACCACAAATGTGAATTTTTCTTTTAAAAACAGGCAATGAATGTAAATGACTAAAGTTTATCAGTGATTGATCCCAATAAGAATATTGTACTCATTCATCCTTCGTGATTAATAACTTATTAAAATAGCTTGACGGAATCTAAAATTAACATTCTGTACATATCTAGGCTAAGAATTGAACAACATACAGCCATTCTTGGAGTTAAATCAAATGATAAATACATCCCAGAATATGAGCTCGATATCCACCTGGTGCAGAAAATAATCTGTGTACCCACCACCTTGTTTTTGAATCCATAGACACATGATTTTTGCAATGAATATTATTTGGTAATAAAACAAAAGCCTTCTATAAATTTGTGTCACATCAATCTTGCCTTTTTGGTTTGGATTACATGACAAACCCAAATGGCAAGATGGAAGCTGGGTAAAGATTTGGTAGAGATCAGCAAGGCACCACAAAAAATAGTAAAAAAATATGAACATGAAATCAACCAACAGAATTTTCATTATTTATCAATTAGAATCTTATATATACTGTATATGTATTTCATTTAAACTTTTCTGAAAATTAAAACGAGTTTTTTCAAAAAAATTGTGTGTAACCATCATTAAGTTTATTTAAATTGATTTCAGATTTTAAGAATTAGTGAGCTCTAATGGAACACTTCCTTTCAGGGGTATTTCTTTGCAAGGTATTTAATAAATTTTGATTGTATGGAATCAAGGAGTGTGATCAAAGTTTTAAAAGGTGCCCCGATAGCAAAAATTTGAACTAAATTATTATGCTGACTAGTACGCTAAAAAAAATTATTAAAGAATAACTAGCAAAGAAACCAGAAATTTCCTAGACAAAAAGAAAATAATAAAAGTTTGTTATTAATTTAAAGCTTGCAAGAGTAATGCCAGGCATCTCTGCAAGATCACAGGAAAAAAAAGCTGGGACAATACAACTCTTAATAAAGCCCTAAGAGTAATAATTTAAATACTTATCATTATGGATAAAAAACCCTTACTGGGATTTTAAAGCTTTAAAATTCCTGCAAGAAAAATTCATTATATATATATATATATATATATATATATATGAATGTCAAAGGAAAAAGTAAAGTCCAAAAATATAATCCGTACACACATTCTAAACGAAATTAAATATCTTAAATTTAAGAATGCTATATCACATGATTCATAGATATATCATATCTACATTTTTTTCCTTCTTAAAATGTGTAATGCAACTTTGCATCATAAATCATCTAGGGTTTGAAATTATACAGATTATGTACACCTGTGTGTCAGAGTATCTGTATAATTTTATGAACATTGATTCAATCTGTCTGGTATGCAAGAAATTTTATTCTAGAACTATTTGCTTATATCTGCACGCACATTTATTGTCTTTTTTTTTTGGGTTGATATTTTTTATTCTAACACAAATTTCCATTTTTAAAATAAAACAATGTAATAAATAAAAATTGGATTTAGAGATGTTTATATATTTATTTATGGTTAATTCCATTCAAACAATCTGCCAAATTAACATTAACTTAACTATATAGTAGTCCGACAATTCAGTGTCTTGTTTGGTCTGAATTAAACAATAGTAGTAGTGTATTTTAGACTACTGCTAATTAATTTTAATATTTACTTCTAAAAATCTTTTTATATTTTTAAATTTTTGATACATTTTCTGCCTTCCTATTGCTTAATTATGGGACGTGAATTAAAAACTGACTGACTATTTTCAAGAAGCTTTAGAAAATATATTTCATGTCCTTAAAAAGAAATGGAAGGAAAAACAACACACTTCCTGATTACAAGACTAAATACAAACTTTGGAATCTTCCAGTTTTATGATACAGAAAGGATAAATTTGGAAGATCAAAACAGGAAGTTGACCTTCATTTTGTAGTTGTTCTCCACTTAAAAATATATGAAACTGCTAAACTACAAAATGAACATTGACTGTCATGTGATCTTATGATCCTGCAGCATGAAAGGGCTCAAAATTTTGCATTTGTCTTGGTTTTTACTGTTACATTAATTTTGTTTTGGGTATTATGTTTTTGAAAGTTTAGCCATATTCATATTGAGTAACTACAAATTTTATAATAGATTTTCTGTATTGATTTATTTGTAGAGTTTGATGATATATTTAAACTTTAATTGTTTTGTTAACTCTGACCTATGTATAATCATTTTTGATGCTTTTAGTTCAATAATATAATTTTTAATATGCTACTAATTTCACAAAACATGCAAAGAGTTTGACTTAAAAGGTAGGCAGTTGAGCCACCATTTTGTGCTAAGATTATTAGTTAAAAAATAACTAATTTAGAAAATTATTTAATTAAAATTCAACAGGGAAGAGAACTCAAATTCACATTTGCTTACCTTTGCTTATTGTGCAGATGGTCCAGATAGACCAGATAGCATAGCTTATAACACTTCTAACATTTATAGATCTATATTAAATTAGGTCATATAACCATAGGCTAATTAATCACTGTGCCATCAGAATACATTGATGGGGAGTTTGACCTAAAAGCAATTCCAAACTAAATAATGAGCTAAATCTTATCTTAAAAATTATGTGTTATCATAGCTGAGAGAGATTATCATCATGTTTATATTCACACCTAAAATGTGCAATATTCTTTTGCAGAAATTAATTTTAAATTAAAGTGCTGTAATAATAGTGTAAAATAAAGTGTTTAAATTAAAGTATTGATTGTCATGGTTGTAACATCTTAAGACAAAAGAATGACCGAACTGCCGCTGACCATTACAGAAAGAAGTCATCCTTTTGTACCCACTCACTCCCACCTTTGGATAGTGATTTAAAACAGTGCAGATGCAGTTGTTTGTTTTCAAGACAGCTTTAGGACACTTTCAAATGTTTAAACTGAAACATGATATAAATGGCAGATATCATTTTATTATTACTTAGTGTTAAAAAAATTTGCAATTTTATTTATAAATAAACTGTAGTGAAAATGTAATTAATTATTCTGTAAAATATTTTAAAATAAATTATCTGAAAACATAATAATATAACTTGAAAATTTACATAATGTAGTTAAACGCTATACAAATATTTTATGTCGAAAGTAAAGTATTCTAATGCGGATTCACAGTAGATTCCTACCTTACAACTAGTTTAGTTTATCAGCATATCATTATGGTGGACATTTCAATATTCAATTTTTTTATAGACAGTGAACTGTTACAATATGTCATAGATCATGTGGCGAGACTGCATGATAAACACATCAACTAGTGTTGCAAATTCAATATAATTGCAGTTTGCAGCAAAACAATACTTTATATTTGACTATTTAAGAAATTAATCTTATTCAAGATTATTTGTCTTGACTCAAAATGAAATTTGTATTTGAATGTGATATTTTCTGATAAATGGTAAAATCGACTATTATTTTACAAAACAAATTGCTAAAATCTTTAATATATTTTTATTTTGTCATCCGTGTAATCAGATAATACAGTAGTAGTTAAATGAGTGATGAATAACCTTTTCTGCATACTTTCAGTGGGCTGCATGCACTTTTATTTACAGAGTTGTAGGCTTTAAGCCTGTTGTGTGTCAACTTACTCCATAACTGCCAATATACTAGGTACTAAAATAATATTTGCTAATGATATGCAAACTAGTAATATATGATTTATTCTTATCTTTTCATTGGTCAAGTTTAATTTGAATGTTCTTTATCGTGAAATATCAGCTTATTTACGGTTGTATAATAGCATTTAGTAGAAAACAGGAAAGTAAAATAATAATGTCTGGGAATGTTCATTGCTGAATAAAATAATAGCCCTCGACAATTTCAGTTTGCTTGCAAAACCAAAGTTTTATTTTTAAAATCCACATAAAAAAAAATTACAAAACATTTAACTTAAAATTTATAAAAATAATTGATATATATTTAATGTACAATCTAACTGGTTCATGGTAATCCTTCACTACATAAGCCATCATAAAGCCAATTTTTCATGGGTCTGACGTTTCCAACTGAGATTCCATTCCAAGAAATAAATTCCAAATATCATGCAAAACAGATCAATGAAAAATACAGTACTTAACTACAAGATAATATAAACCTTGTAAAATTTACCAGTAAGTAGGACTGTAAAGTGAGGATCCATCATATTCATTTTCAATGAATAGTGTTTTTGGATAATGAATAGCAATTTAAAAAAAATTTTTGCTGGATATTATTAACAGATTTGAAATGACTTAGTAGTTGCAAAGACAACTTTTCCAGATTCCAGTTAAAGGGAGGAAACCAAATTTAATATATACAAAAATGTCAATACAGTCGTCCCCCCTATAAACACTTGATAATTCCATTTTATATGAATTCCATGTTGTACGAGTCACTTAGATTTTACAAATACATGAGCCGTTCGCAGCCCAGCACACGTATTTGTAAAATCTAAGTGACTCGTACAACATGAAAT